TGGGGGACTGCTGGGGTGGGGGGCTGCTGGGGTGAGGGACTTCTGGGGCTCAGCTGGTGCTCCTGAGAGACAGCTGCTTCCCTGCCTGGCTGACAATCTCCCAGATGCCAGAAGTGCCACTGGGCAGGTGGGGTCCAGCCAGGACTACCAGTCTCCACTGTACAATAAGTAGAAATAGAGGCTGCCAACTTGAGTTTGGTTCCCAGAACCCATGTTGGGTGGCTCACAACCACCTATAACTCCAGCTCCATAAGGGATCGGGCTTCTGAGGGCATCCACATACATGTGCACATACATACACATAATTTTTTTTGGTCTTTTTGAGACAGAGTCTCCCTGTAGCTCCAGTTGTCCTGGAACTCACTATGTAGACCAGGCTGGCCTTGAACTCACAGAGATCCACCTGCCTCTGTCTCCCGAGTGTTGGGATTAAAGGTGTGCGCCACCACGCCCGGCTACATACACATAATTTTTACAAAAAAATTTTTTTTTAGTCCTTTTGAGCCAAGGTCTCCCAGCTGGCTGGCCTGGTGGCACTTGCTATGTAGACCAGGCTGGTCTTGAACTCACAGAGATCCATCTACCTCTGCCTCCCGAGTGCTGGGACTAAAGGTGTGTGCCACCATGCCTGGCCCCACATAATTAAAATTTTTAAAAATATTTTTGGAAAAAGAAAAGAAAAGAGATTGCTGCCACACTACAAACCTTCCTTTCCTAAACGCTTGCTGCTCTGGCAGGATGGCATGGTCCTATGGTCCTAATCAACCAAATGGGCAAATGGACCTGTTAATGAGTGGTCCAAGGGAGTCACTGAGTCCTGCTGCAGCTGCAGCTCTGTCCCAGCAGGCTCTCTCCTCAGCTGATGCCCTAGCCCATGCTCTCAGTTGATGTCTCAGACTTTGAGGGGCAGCAAGATGGTAAGAGCTGGGACATCCAACCCCAAGATGTCCCCGTCCCCATAGCCATCTCCCCTCATCTTGAGTCCTGGTCCCATCTACGCTGTGGATGGAGATAAAGGCATCAACCAGCGAATCATCTACAGCATCATAGCGGGTGAGTGAGGGCTAGCCCCACAGCACCCAGATCCCACAGCAGAGGGGACAAGCCACCAAATTCTACCTCACATTCTCCCAGGAAATACGGATGATACTTTCACCATTGATGCAAACTCTGGAAACCTCACCATGGCCAAGGACATCCTCAGCCCCACAACCTTCACCTTGGTGGTCAGGGTAGGTGCCAGTACTGGATAGTAGATGACTCTCTTGGCCAGAGTTTTTCCCATGCCCCTTGAGCCCTGGCTGGAGTACCAACTCCATTAAAGTCTCAATGCTCATTCCTACCTCCCCAGGCTGATCAGGAGGATATGGCCCAAAACTCAGTGACACAGGTCACCGTGAAGGCCCAGGATCTCACTGAGAGCCCATTCCAGTTCTCTCGAAGCCTGTACCATGGCACCGTGGCACTTGGCTCTGGGGCTGGCACCAGAGTGATGGATGCAGCCTCCCCCTCTGAGTCCCTGAGGATCTGGGCTCAGTACCCAAACTATCCGGTACACAGCCCTTCCTGTCCATCCAGGAACCCCATCACTATGCTTGGTCCCTGGCTAGCCCTTCTCTATATGGGTGGATTGGGATGGACAGCAGGGCACCCAGGCTTAGTTCTCACTAGAGCCCTACCCAGGACCTCAACTTGGCCATCACATATCGAATCACCAACTGCACAAAGTTTAAGATGGACGAGGATACCATCCTGACCACCGAGGCTATGGAGAATGTAGAAGTCTTCTATGCAGAGGTGGGTGGGGTAGGGTGGGAGGACTTCAGGCATGACTGAAGGTGTGAGGGGAGGAAGAGTTTAAGAGGAAAAGCCCCCTTCCTGATGCAGGTAGAAGCCACCGAGTCTTCAACGGGAGCAACAGCAACTACTGTTGTGGAGATCCAGGTATCAGAGCAGAAGACCCCCTCCACAGGTGAGCCCCAGGAGTCTCCCAAACAGGGTAGCTCTTCCTCTGGGGAAGGTATACAGGGAGACAGAGGCAAGACCAAGTTCTGTCCCTGGCCCTCCAGAGTTCCCCACATCCCCAGAGACTGGAGGAACAGCTGGGTCCTTGAGCAGCACTACATCAGAAGCCCCCAAGACCTCTGTGACCTCTCAGGGACCCACCACAACCAGCTCTGGGGGAAGTCCTGGCCCGCTCCCACCCTCAAGCACAACTCTAAGTCCACCTGCTTCATCCACACCTGTGGAGCCCTCCACTGCTGGAAACAGCACCTCTTCCCAGCCATCCACTCCCAGTGGGGACTCAACACAGACCCCCAGACCAGGAACCTCTCAGCCAGTGGTCCCCACTGCTGGAACTGGCACCTCCCCCAAGCCGGTCACACCCAGTGGGGGCTCAACACAGACCCCCAGACCAGGAACTTCTCAGCTGACGACCCCCACTGCAGGAACCAGCACTTCCCCGCAGCCAGCACAGACCCCCAAACCAGGAACCTCTCAGCCGACAACTACTGAGCCCAGCAGGACCCCTTTACCCTCAGGTAGTCCCTACTCCGTTTGCTCTAGAGTCACCCTAACCCTTCCTAACTCAGGACAGGGGGAATCCAGGGATATACTCTAGGACAGGGTCCACCCTGGCCTGACCTGACCACACTGACCACAAACTCCAAAAAGTCTTTTCCTAGTTCCAGACAGATGGTCCCAGGGGTCACAGTAAAGGGAACTGAGGGAAGCATGGGGCAGAGGCAGAGGCAGATTTTGGATCCAGTGAGTCTCATGATTTGCAGGACATTCTGTATTTAGGGTCTTAAAAAGGGAGCACCCCTCCAATCATTAGGGGAGGCACAGATAGAAATTAAGATTCTGGGGTTGGACGTAGTGCTACATGGCTATGATCCCAACTACTGGGGAGAATGAGGCAGGAGGATCACTTGAGTCCAGGAGTTCAGGGCTAGCCTGGGCAACAAACTGAGGTGACACTGTCAAAAACAAACAAAAACCAGAAACACAGAGCTGGGGAGATGGCTCAGTTGGTGAAGTGCTTGCCTTACAAATATGAGGAGCTGAGTTTGGTCCTCAGAACCCAGGCAAAACAGCTGAGCCTGGTGATGTATGCTTATAACCCTAGTGTTGGGAAGGCAGAGACAGAGAATCCGGGGAATTGCTGGCCAGGCACCCTAGTCTCCTTGGTGAGCTCTAGGCCAGTGAGAGGCCCTGTCTCAAAAAACAAAATGGAGGCTGGCAAGATGGCTCAGTGGGTAAAGGGCTTGCCACCAAGCCTGACAACCTAAGTTGGATCCCTGGTTCCCACATATGTGGCAGAAGAAGGAAATTGACTTCTGAAATTTGTTCTCTGACCTCCACACTTTTGCTGTGGCATGTGGGCACCCACACACATATGCACACAATAAACAAAAGTAATAACCCCCTGAAACAAAGTGGATAGCTCCAAAGTAGAATGATACCCTAGATTATTCTTGGCTTCTGCATGCATGCATGTGCACATGTATGGCCTACTTGTGTATCTTCACACATACAAACATGCACATACATGCAAATACACACACAATAGAAAAAAATACCAGCAAAAAAGCCCAGCATGGTGGTACACACCTGTAATCCCAGCTCTAGGGAGACAGAAGCAAGAGGATCAGTAGTTCAAGGCCAGCCTTAGCTACATAGTTTAAGGCCAGATCCTGTCTCAAAACAAACAAGACTACATTACTTGTGGGCTCTGGGGGCACTCAGCACACAGCCACACAGGAGTGTGTGTGGGGCACCTGTGGGTGAGCATCTTTGTTGGGGAATGTTATTCAAACAGGTTTCCTGATGGTGCTGGTGAATTTAGATAGCAGGCTCTGGTTCTAGGAGACTCTCACTGAGAGCTCCTCATACTGGTCACTACGCTGTATCCATTTAGCCCCTCAGGGTGCAAGGTCACAAGGAGCTTGGCACGGCCAACTGTCCAGAAGAATGGTCACCAGAGGCAGTTGTACTAAGCAGATTTCTGGGGGATATGAACTGAAAACCTTGTCAAGTGTCACTGAGTCCTGCTTCTGGTCTAAGTGCAACTTATATTCAAAATGTTGAAGCCACAAAGACAAAGGTCACTACAGCTATTCACAGTGTGCCCGCAGGGCACCGGTGTGTCAGTGTAGCTTGGCCTCCCAGGGACTTGGTATCCCCAACCTCCCTGGTGGAGTCAATAGCACCCATCCCAGAACTTCAGCTCCTGGGGCAGAGGGAGCAGGCCAGGCCTGGCTTCTTTTCATGATACCCCGGCCTGGTAGAGGTTGGAGAGGGAAGGGCTTAGAGGTGTTCCAACAGCAAGTGGTTATGGTGTCTTGGGCAGGAGACAACGGTGATGGTCATTTTTCCACGGTGGACATGGCTGTGCTGGGCGGGGTGCTGGGTGCGCTACTGCTGCTGGCCCTCATCTGTCTGGCTGTCCTCATCCATAAGCACTACGGTCACCAGCTCAATTGCTGCTCTGGCAAGGCTTCGGTAAGGCTGGGTGGGGATGGGGGCTAGGCAGGGGAGAAAAGGGACAGCAGGGGGACCAACCCAGAGGCTGGGGAGGAGTGGGGGGGGTGCGTCCGAGGGACATAGAGGGATAGATAGGGAACACCTGCAGAAAACAGGACTTCACAGAGAAAGGAAGCAGAGGTAGGCTAGGATGGATGCAGACAGCCCTGCGGAGAGGTGGGAGCTGCCAGGTGGGAGGAGGCTCCGAGGACACTGGTGGGGGTAACAGCACCGCTTCTAACTCCCTTTTTGCACCCCAGGAGTTGTCAAGTGGCTTCGACAACGATGCCTTCGTCCCAGACCGCAAGGCCAGCTGGACACCCACCTCTAGCCCAGAGCCCGAGCCAGGCCCTGTGCCGGCCAAGAGGCCCCCTTCGCCCCCCAGCAGTGCGCGCTCCAGCCCTGTGCCTCCTAGCTCTGAGCCCCTCAGCCTCGCAAGCGCTCCCGACACCCCCGAGACCGCCAGGGCCGGGGACAGTCCCTCAGCAGTGAGATCTATCTTGACTAAGGAGCGGCGGCCGGAGAGCGGCTACAAGGCCGTGTGGTTCGGCGAGGACATCGGCGCCGAGGCTGATGTGGTGGTCCTCAACGCGCCCACCGTGGAAAACGAAGGCAGCGAGGACGAGGGCCAGGACGAGAATGACGGTCCTCACCACGGTGCGGATGCCGACTCCACTTACATCTAGCACAGCGCACCCCAAGCCAGTCTGAAGCAGGGTGGGCCCGGCCCCTGTCATTGCCTCCGCAGAATAAAGTAACCATTTTGAATGCCGAATTCTGAAGGAAGTCAGGCGAGTGCGTGTGACAGTGGGTGTGCGCTAAGGCCCTGGAGGGTGCAATAGGTCGGCCTCCTATCAAAGGCGCAGTGTTCTTAACTGCTGAGCCATCTCTCAAGCCCCGACGGGGCCCAGTCTTGAGCAGGTCACCACAGCTGCAGTGAACTCATAAGCACAATGACTCCGCCGTCCAGAAGACAGCTTTTTGCTGCACATCCCCCATCCTCTGGCCCCTTCCACCTCCTCCTGCAACACTACCTGAGCTCTGAGGGGGTGGTACAGATGATACTGCAGTCCCTTAGGATGGAACACTCTATCTCAGCTATGAGTTTCTGCCCACGACAGTAACAAGCGTCTCTATGAAGGCTAGTGCACTAATTTATGGCTACAACTTTTTTTTTTTTGAAAAATTGAGGTGAGGGTCTGGGGAGATGGCTCAGAGGTTAAGAGAACTTGCTGCCCTTCAGAAGAAGGACCCTCGTTCTGGTCCCAAGCACTCACAGGGTGCCTCACAACCTTCTGACTCCAGTTCCAGGGGGATCCAACACCCTTTTCTGTACTCTGGGGGCACCAGGCACAAAGGCAGCACACATACATACATACAGGCAAAATACACACATAAAATAAAAATAAATCTTTTTTAAAAAATTGAGACAGAATCTCGCTCTGTAACACAGGCTGGCCTCGAATTAGCGTAGACTTTCAGCCTGCGAAGTACTTGCGTTCACGCTTGCAGCGCGGAGTGCTCCTAAGGAGCTGCGGGGGCGGAAGGCGGGAGGACCCTTCCCAAACTCCCGCCAAAGTCAGCCTGACGGGCAGACCCCAGCGGCCACTCCACGACTTCACTGTGCCGTCCGGAGCAGGGTCTCCCGCCCCAACCGCGACCTCACAGGGCCTGGGAGAGCTACTCCAACCGGCTTGCGCCCCCCAAGCCCTCAAGGCCCGGCCCCGCCCCGCCCCGCCCCGCCCCGCCCCTGACCCTGACTATAAAAGCACAGGCAGCCTCCTCAGAGAGAAAACTCCGTCCCGGCGGCTCCGGCACCAGGTACGTGGGACCCTTGGCCCAAGAGGGGTGGGAAGCTAGCTGGTGCCCACGGGGAAATCCTTGTCCCTTCCACGGAGTAGCGGCTGGGGGAGGGCAATGGAGAGAGGGTCGGGAAGCCGGAGGGCAGAGGGCCGGGGAGGGTCAGAAACAGAGAGCTGCAGGTGGGGGTATGGATCCACGGAGGGGTTGAGGTTGAGGGCTGGGGAAGCGCGGAGGGCGGGAGGCCGTGGGAAGCCAGCGATGCCCCGCCACTGCTTTTGGGTTTCGGTTTCCCGGAGTGCAATTTCGCTTTACTGGGCTGGGCCACGCCCCCTGTACGCCGCCTTTTCCCACTGTCTTTGCAGGGTCCAGTCTGCGACTGCCCGTCCAGGCCTGGACGCTGGATCAACACCTGTGACTTCACGTGTGCGCTCCCGCCACATCTGTAGTCACATCTATAGTCACCTTGGCCGAGAAAGCCACACTTAGGCAACGTAGGTGGCTACAAGCTCTCGAACCTCAACTGTGACCCTCAGTACCCTAACACCTGGGTCACATTTGTGACAAATTCTCATCTGCCATCAACACACGTAACACTCGGCCACACTATCTGCGGCCACAACCTGACACCGTAGTGACACCCAGGGAACGCTTTTACCTCCCTTGTGGTAACACCTGACTGCCCCAGTGACTGCAGCCCGCCACAGCGAAGGGCCCACTCTGATTCTCCCAGACTGTTCTTGTAGGAGGAGGAATGGCCGTGGAGAGGTGAGAAGCAGCCCACCCTGCCCGTAGTGGGTCTTGGCCACTGGCCCTGATCCCAGTGACTGCCGTGCTGTTGTTGCAGGGGGCCCCAGCGCTTGCTGTTTGGAGAGTGGCTTCTGGGCGAAGTCAGCAGCGGCCGGTATGAGGGGCTGCGGTGGCTGAACGAGGCTCGCACCGTCTTCCGAGTGCCATGGAAGCACTTCGCACGCAAGGATCTAAGCGAGGCTGACCCACGCATCTTCAAGGTGGGCCCTCGCCCCCAGCCCTCTGGAGGATCTGCCAGGACCAGGGGCTCAGCTCCAGACCCAAGCTCTGTCCGCCCCTCCAGGCCTGGGCGGTGGCCCGAGGCAGGTGGCCACCTAGTGGAGGTGACCTGCCACCCCCTGAGGCTGAGGCTGCAGAACGGGCAGGCTGGAAAACCAACTTCCGCTGTGCGCTTCACAGTACGCGGCGTTTCATCATGCTGAGAGACAATTCGGGGGACCCTGTCGACCCGCACAAGGTGTATGCCCTTAGCCTGGAGCAAGGGTCGGCAGGTGAGAAATGCCCCTGGTAGGCCTGGGCCAGGGGATGAATCAGCAGTGGACTGTCTTGGTGGCTTAATGGTTGGATTTTTGGTTTTAGAAACTGGTTGGAGAAAAGCTGGTTGGAGACCCAGCTCCTCTCCTTCCCAGGTGTGTCTGGGTAAGCACCTCTTCTCCCAGGCCAGAGCCCTGGGCTGAAATGCCTGGTCATTTGGGAGCAGGGGGCGTGGGTACCAGATAACTTCTGGAACTACTCAAGCATCACAACCAGGTTGTATGGCATTAGGTCTGAGTGTGCTTCCTTCCCCCCACTTCCCTCTCCTTCAAAAGGCCCAGCTACGGATAAGAGGGAAGAAGTGACTCTCAGCAGTGCCCCACCTACACAGGTACAGTCTGGCCCTCTCCTCCTAGGTGTGGGGGATGGGCAGCTGCTTACCATGACTCTCCCATGCAGGATGCATCTCTGGGACCCGTCATGGCAAGAGGAAATGCTGAGCACCAAACTCTAAATCCTTTGCTTTCTGTTGACACTGAGGACCTCTTGCTTCAAGCTCTGCAGCACAGCCATCTGGGGGACCATCTGCTGGAAACTGAGTCGGGGGCAGATTCAGACCCCCCACAGGCTCCTGGTGAGGCAGGAGGAAATGCCACTGAGCTGGGGCTGAGCTGGAGATCCCCCACCTGCCCAGGGGCTGTATGAAAGGGAGAGATGGAAAGACAAAAGTCCTTGGGGAGAGGGAAAAGGGATGCTGGGACACCAGGGGTGGCAAGCACGAAGGGGCAAATTGGATAGGAACCGCGCTGGCCACAGCTGGACCACTCTTTTCCCCTCAGGCCCAGAGCAAGAGCATGCTTCTGAGGAGGCCTGTGTAGCCTGGGCGATGGAAACTGTGCCCAGTCCCGGGCAACACCCAGCTCTAATGACAGGTGAGGGCCTGTGGGACCTCTTGGTGAGGGGTGGGGCTCAGATGCCAGCACAGGCATTCCTCAGTATAGACCTAGACCCCAAGGCAGAAACTTGCACAGCAACCTGCCCCCTCACATGTGTACTCCAATGGGAGGCGACTGGGCTCATACCCTCTGCTCACAGCTTGGTTTGTACACAGAGCTCAGTCCAGGGCCCCTGGACGTGACCATCATGTACAAGGGCCGCACAGTGCTACACGAAGTGGTGGGACACCACAGCTGTGTGTTCCTGTACAGCCCCATGGGCTCAGCCGTGGGAGCTACAGAGCCTCAGCCCCAGCCGGTGATCTTTCCCAGCCCCGCTGAGCTCCCTGACCAGAAGCAGCTGCAGTACACTGAGCAGCTTCTGCAGCATGTGGCCCCAGGCCTGCAGCTGGAGCTGCGGGGGCTTTCTTTGTGGGCCCTGCGTATGGGCAAGTGCAAGGTGTACTGGGAGGTGGGCAGCCCCATGGGCTCCACCAATCCCTCCACTCCAGCTCAGCTGTTAGAGCGCAACTGCCACACCCCGATCTTCGATTTCACCACTTTCTTCCAAGGTCAGTAAGGTGCCTACCTGGGGTATGGTACTTGGGGGACCCTGGAGCCCTGCTTAACCTGCTCACCAGAGCCACCTCTTACAGAGCTGAGGGAGTTCCGGGCCCGGAAGCGGCAAGGCTCACCACACTATACCATCTACCTGGGCTTTGGGCAAGACTTGTCAGCTGGGAGGCCCAAGGAGAAGAGCCTGATCCTGGTGAAGGTGAAGCCTGGGCTGCCAAGTGAAGGTCGGGGTAGGCTGCCCTGTGGGAGGCCTAACAAGTCTCCTTCCCACAGCTGGAGCCCTGGCTGTGCCGGATACACCTGGAGGGCGTGCAGCGGGAGGGTGTATCCTCCCTGGACAGCAGCAGTCTTGGCCTGTGCCTGTCTAGCACCAACAGTCTCTATGATGACATTGAGCACTTCCTCATGGAGCTGGAGCAGAGGGCCTAGACCAGAACCCCAACCTTCAATAAAGAGCGCCCAGAACCAGTGCTGTCCTAAGTCAGACTCACTCACTTCCTGAGAAGCTAGCCTGGCTGCAAGAGCTAACAGGGATGTGGTGGGATCTGGCTATACCTTATTGGACCTGGTGGGGGCCAGGCAAGGAAGGGGACCCCTGCCCCTGCCCGGCCTCCCCCACAGCACTCATCTTCATAATGAAGAATTCAAACCACAGGCTTTAGAGGTACTGAACCCTCCCTGAGCACAAATGCTCCAGGACAGGCAGAAGGGAGCAAGCTGATGGGGCCAGGTGTGCTGGACAAGGTAGGATACATGCCTGACTTGGGCCCAAAGCACTATCCTGCAACCCCAGAGTAAGAAACCACCACAGCAGACAGGTCCATGAGTGAACACTGGCAGGTGGCTGTGTTGCAAACCCAGGAACCCTTCACCCCAGCCCCACCCACCAGGTTTTCTGAAACCAAAACTTCACCTTCCAAATACCGAGTCCACAGAAAAATTTCTAAAGATAAGCCATTTTTTGATAAATTAGAACACAATGGAAACAGTGTATCTATAATATACATATAAAAAGTCCAGTTTTCAATTGTAAGCAAGACAGGTGTCATGGGAGTCGAGTGCTGAGGGTGGCCCCAATTCTTTCCCAGTGGGGACACCTCCCCACAGTGGCTGGCCTCAGGTCTCGGCACCCTGGGCAGGTGGCTCCTCCCCAGCTTCAGTCTTCTTGTGCCTGCGCATGTGCCTATACTTGTCCACATAGGCCTTTACCAGATTGGCCACCTTCACAGGGTTGATCTCGCCGCTCTTGCTGTGGCAGATCTGAAAAATGAGCACAATTACCCACATGGCCCTCTCACACGTGACAGACTCAGAGCCTGGCCCAGTCAGGCTTCCAAGCTTAGGGCAGATGCCATGCCTGGTCCTTTTCCAAGCAGAGGCCTAACGGTCCTGTTGAGGGTATGTGTACCCTTTCCTGCCTGAATGAACACCTCACAGAGCTGCTGAGGGCTCCCCAAGTGTGTCACGGGTCAATAGGAAGCCGAAGAATTGTTATAGAAAGATCTGCTCATGTCTCAGGGCCTTTTCTCCCAAGAAGCAGGGCAGACTGGGTAATTTTAGACCATCTGTATCTTTAGCCTTTTCAACCAGGAGTAAAAGAAAGCCCTGCTTGAGGGGCACTTACTGGGAGATGGGGCTAATCCAAGGCCTCAGCCATTCGGCCCAGCTGGCTGACTCCATTCTTAGACACTTGGGGAGTCCAAGCAGATGAGAAATGACAGCCACCTGTTACATGCAGGTCCAGCCATTCTGTCACTATGTGCCACATGAAGTCTCAAGGTTGTCAAAAAGTCACAAGTCTGCAGTCCAGTCTGCCTGCTCAGATAGCCTACCTTCTGCACAGCTTTCCGCAGGATGTCCTTGTATTCCTCCTTGGTCACCTCTCTCTTCTGGTAGAAGGGCTTAATGGCCAGCTTCACCTCCTCCACAGCCCGCTCCTGCATGTGCAGCTTCTTCAAGTACTAGGAAGGACATGTGTGACTCCGTGGTAGGATGGCCAGTTCAGGGATGCCCTTCAGCCCAGGAGCACTAAGGGAAATGGGATGGCTGCTAACCCTCAACTCAGCCCCACTAAGACAAGCCAGGAAGGACAGGGTTGCACTCACCTCTTCCTTCTTGGTCTTCTCGGCGGCTGGCTTGGGAGTGCTGGTCCTCTCCTCAGAGCTGCTGTTGTTGGTTAGAACAGCCAGCTCTGAGGCTACAGCTGGAACATTAGGCACTGGGGCCAGGGTCTGTGCTGTGCCACAGCCAGCCAGGGGAAGGGTCCCCTGCAGGATTAACTGGACCGAGGGCTGACTGACGAGGGTGTAGGGCAGGATGCTTGATGGCTGAGCCAGGGGTGGTGGCATGTTGGGGTTGTAAACTTGGGCAAGAATACCCTCTGCTGAGTGCAGAGTCCCAACAGCTGGCACCTCTTCTGCCCTGGAAGCACCAGGGGGCTGTACAGAAAGGAAGTAGTGCCATGAGAGCTAAGTCCCAGCCAGGGCAGCCCACAAAGCCCAGCACAAGGCTCATGTCCCTCTAGCCCAGCACCCACCTGAGAGGGGTCTGCATCAGGTAACCCAGACTCCTGGAGCACGTGGATGGGAGGGGGCAGCTCGGAGAATGGTGCCTGCTGAACTCCTACGAGGGCCCCGTCCTCTGCATCCCAGTCTCCTTCCCGGGGCCTCTGTGGCCTCTGAAGTGGTGTCCCTGGGGGCCCAACAGACAGGGAAGGTGGATGCCCTGTGGCCAACCCTGGCCAAAACACTCCTTCAGAGATCCATTCTAGCAGGAGTGAGCAAGGCCAAGCTGTAGATCTGACTGTCTGCAAGGACCTGAATGGGGTCGCAAAGAACCTGGGGAGGCTCTTGGGGTGGCTTCCTCAATGCTCCATGCCTGATCTGTACCCCGACCCACAGGGACACTCCCTACCAGCAAAGCCCCTGGCAGCGCCAACTTACTTGGAACTCTGTCCAGGGCTGGAGTACCATCCTCTGCCTCCTGTAGGTTCCAGGTGACTCTTTTTACAAGGGCCCTGGCCCGTAGCAGAGGGGCCTGGACCACTGTCTCCTTGGACCTGACTGCTTCACACCCTCTCCCACTCAGCAAGGGGCTGTCTTTTCCCATGGGTACCACACCCATGGTGCTGGGAGTCATGGCAATGGTCTCTACAGCGTCCTGCCTGAGCAGGTACTGGTCTGAAGGGCCCTCTGCCTGTGGTGTGGGCTGAGAGATGTCTTCACTGTGGATCAGGGACACTTCCCTCTGGATGGCAGCCAGACTGGCATCCTGTGGCTGGATGGCTGGGGGCACCACAGGATTTGGTGGGAAGTCTCGTTCTGGGGAGGAGTCTGTACTCTCAGGGGAAGGAGGTGAACTCATGTCATCAAGCTGGATAAAGATGGCTTCACTTGAAAAATCCTCAAAGACGTGCCCTGCTTCCACAGAGTCACCATAGTCCAAGTCCTCAGGCACAGATTCAGCTGGCACTGCCAGGACAGGGGGCATTTCTGGGGGGTTCAGGTCAGCCACAACCACCTCTGGCAGGACACTCACTTCCTCGGAGACTGAAGGTTTAGCCGGGCGGTCTTCATCTTGCCTCAGCTCCTCCTGAGCAGTGGGGGCTGGGGAAGCTTCCTTCACAGCTGGAGCCTTCTCTGGGGAACGGGGCCGCTTCTCTCGGGAACGTGGCCGCCGTGGCCTATGCTCCAAGCTTGGTGATCTAGACCTCCACCTCCTCCTCTCCCGGGACCAGGTCATACTGTCTTTCTTGTCTCGGCTCCGGCTCCGTTCCCGGTGCTTGTGTCTCCTGGCCCGCTCTAGGTTGCTGGGGGAAGAGCAGTCCTTGCCCCGAGACCTGGAGCCTGAGCGTCGCCTCTTCCGCTTCCTGCTTTCATGGCGCTCACAGGAAGAACTGCCAGGACTGCCTGAGTGAGACCTGGACTTCCTGCGGCACCTGCCATGGCTCCAGGAGCCCCGTCTCCGCTCCCTGTCCCTGTCCCTGGTCTTCCTCCTCTTCACTCTCTCCTGGCTGCTGGCACGGTCGCTGGAAGACCTCCGGCTCTTGGTCTTGGCCCTGTGCCTCTTGGTGTGCTCCTCGACCACGGGCGATACCGAACGTGAGGTCCTGTCCCTGGAGCCAGAGCGAGTGCTAGAGCGTGTCCTCTGGTGCTCCCTGGCAGCCCTCTTCTTCTTGGTTTTCTTCTTGCTTCGGGAGCTAGAGGTGGAACGGGATCGGGATGGGGTTCTCAGCTCTACAATCCTATGTGTGGTGACCTGTGGAACATCTGGCTCCATGACAGTCACACATGTCACTGTCCGCTCCTCAGAACCAAAGAAGGGTGTACAGGACATTCCATCCTCATCTTCCCAGGGGTCTTGTGGGGATGGCCTGTGTGTCTGGGCTATGGAACCCTCGATTTCTGGATGCTCCACCTCACCTAGCCTTTCTTGCTCCAAGTCAGAGGCTCCCTCAGCAGGCCCCTTGCCCAGGAACTTGAACATGCCAGACATGGGCTCACCAGGGGGCTGGGGCTCAGGTTCCACCTCAGTATCAAAGATGCTTTCCACCCTGTAGGAGGTAACACAGCGCACAGCCTGGAAGGCTGGGGCTTTTGGGCTGTTGATGGAGATTGTTCTCGTGATCTCAGATGGCAGAAGGCCTGGGCCAATACTCTCTGGGCTGCTGGTAGGAGGACTAGAGTCAGAGCCAGTGGGGTCAAAGGGGTCATAGATTTCACTCTTGAGTTGCTTCGGCTTCTTGATGGAGAAGAGTGGCGAAGGGTTCTCCTTCCTCTGCACTTTGCTATCCACTGGCCGGAATGTGTTACAGAAGCCAGGGCTGGACAGCTGGCTGCTGTGTGCAGTATTCCCGGGGATGTTGATCCTGAAACTCTCAAAGGTTGACCCAATGCCTTTCCCTCTTGAAGGCCCTAGAGGGGCCAAGTTGCCATGGGAGCTGGGGGCAGGAGGCCGAGAGCCACCCGTGTGTGAACCAGGCTCCTGAGGGCCCCTGTTTCTGGGCTCATTCTCAGCTCGGCCTCGCCCTGGCTGTCCAGCACCCTCCCTTCCTGTCAGGCGGCTAATGCAGGTGCTGGGGAGCTCCACGCTCTGCCCATGGGCTGGGGCAGGGTCTTGTCGGCTGCCACTGCCATTCCTACGGATCTTTGGTATTCTGGGCAACTGTGAGATGTCGGCTCTCCTGGGAGCTGTTTTCAGGGACTGTCTAAGGACTATATTTCTAGATGAAGAGTTAGAGTGAGTGGCTGAGATCTTAGAGGAGGCAGAACGAAGAGGCAAGGCCTGCATGTTCGCGCCATTAAACTGGGGGCTGTTATTCTGCTTCAGGCTAGGCCTGCTCCCATTTGAAAGCTTCCCAGCCTGACTTGAACCAGGGGTTGATGATGACTCCGGCCTCGCAGGTGTCCCCACTGAGTAGGCGGGGATACAGCGTAGGGCCGACCTGTCCCCACAGCTTATCCCTGAGCTCTGTGGCCTGCTTCCTGTGAGTCCGACATTGGATGGGCTCCCTGAGGGTGATGCCTCAGGCTGTAGGCTGTCTCTGCGCCTGGACTCATCTTCTCCTCTGGATTGAGTCACAGAATTTCGTTGAAGAGAAACAGGAGCTAAAAAAAAAGTCAAATGACAACCATTCCCACCTCTTGTCTAAGGAGTTCAATGATTGTTTCAGATATGAGAACTGACACTCAAACTGTTTTGTAGGCTTTCTGAGTGGACACACATGCTACTCCACACCCAGGAGTGCTGTGGACTCAGCTGTGCCACTGCCAACCCTGTGGGATCACAAACACCCTCACAGCCGTGAGTTCTCTTTACAGACAAGACTATGGTTCAAAAGGTGTCTCAGCCCCCAGCTGTCTTGCATAGACAAGAAGCTGCAGGTGGAGGCCCTGCCCATCCTTGACCATGCTGGTCCATTGGGCACTGTGCGCTAAGGATCTGAGAACTGCCCTGGAAATGCCACTCCCCTAAATGAACTTGGACTATGGAAGGATCCTGACAGAAAATCAGACTAGATACACTATTAGCAGTGTTGTCCCCAAACTGGGGCAAAGGCTGAGAGCCAGCCCAACTTGTTCACTTCTAAGAATTTTGAGCTCACATTTCCAAAAACCATGAGAAGGGGCAGTGGCCCCATGGGCGCTCACCTGTCCTCTTTGCGCTAAGAGAGCCATCCCGGTGGATGACAACATCAGCGCTGCTCATCATCAGGAGGCTCTGGCCAGTCAGGATGCTCCCCAACAGATCAGGAACAGGAGCCTCCTCCACACTGGGCTCTGGGGCCACAGCTGGGAGCTGCCTTCTGTAGACACAGACCAGAGGGTGGCCCTGCTATCATTGACCCTCTCCATATCTGTGGCCTGCACCCCTACCCAGCAACCCTAACATGGGGAGACCACGCGTGTAGGGAGGCCACCTACAACACATGTATTTGCCCCACACTCTAGATCAAGCAAGACCTGGCAGGAGAGAATCTCCATCTGTTGGTGACTGTGAACCAGGGCTGCTCCTCTGCCTGGACCTTTTCTCTTTGTCTAGAGACTGAGGCCATTGTGACCAGCAGTTGTACTACCTGACCCTTGGATACCCAGCCAACCTCAAGCATGTTACACAAAGAGGAGATGCTCAGCCATATCACTAGGGGCCAGAGAAAGGACAGCCAAATCAGTACACTACAGGCCATTGCTCTGCCCACCCAGAAGTCCCTGTTGTCACTTACCTGGAGAGCCCCATAGCAACAGGCCTGGCTACAGGCTGGTGAGACTGCAAGGCCGAGCGGGACAGCACTCTCCTCTTGGCACTCAGAGGGGAAGGCAGATTTGCAGACAGTTCTTCATTGCTGGTGGAGACATATACCAAAGAGATGGTGATACAGCAGACCACTCACTAAGTAAAACACACAGACTAACCGAATCTGAGAGTGAGCTGGGGTACCCAGACAGTAACCACTGCAATTACCTGTCAAAAGGGTCCAGCTCGTAGGGGTCTCCAAACAGTGACAGAGAAGCTGCTCCGATATCTGCCCTCATTAGCCCCAGGGAGGGGTCTACTGGTTTGTACACTGATGGCATGCTGGTGCCACGGACAGGCCTGCGGAGGCCCAGTGTCCGTGCAATTCGAGAACGAGCTGTAACCTCATTCTAAACCAGAGACAGAAAAAGAATAATGAAATCTAGTTGGGCGTGGTGGCACATACCTTTTATCCCACCACTCAGGAGTGCAATGACAGCCTGGTCAACATAGCAAGTTCTAGGCCAGCCAGGTTACATAGTAAGACCCTGTCTCAATGAAACAAAACAAAAAAAAATGAAATCTAAAGGCTCCAGACAGGCTGTGAAAGCATCGCTTAGTAACACCCAGCATTGGCTGAGTGAATCCCAAGGTTCCCGCGCTGACTCAAAAGCCTCAGTAGCTTCACTAACCATGAGAGTTTAGAGTTCTGCTGTCTGCACCTTCATACACAAGCTCAGCGCACTGCTGAGGAGCATTTAAGTGTTACTGTCATTGTATGGTATTTATTTTGAAAACTCACAGAAGCAAACAAAAATTTCAACCAGTGTCTGAGAATTGCACAGAACAGCCAGTTGCAGACTTTAAACATTATCTCAATTGTTAATTGTATTAAAAAGGGTTCTAGGGGCTGGAGAGATGGTTCAGCGGTTAAGAACACTGGTTGTTCTTGGAGAAGACCCGGGTTCGAATCCCAGCACCCACATGGCAGCTAACAACTGTCCGTAACTCCAGTTCCAGGAGATCCAATGGCCTCTTCTGACCTCCGCGGGAATTGCATGACATGGGTGCACCTACCTACATGCAGGCGATGCAGGTGATACACTCATACACATAAAATAAAAATAATAAATTAAAAAAAAAATCAGCCAGGCACAGTCAATCCCAGCACTTGGAAGGCAGAGGCAAGTGGATCTCTGTGAGTTCAAGGCCAGCCTGGTCTACATAGTGAGTTCCAGGACAGCTGGGGCTATACAGAGACCCTGTCTCAAAGTAAAATAAGGTAGCCGCTCAGCAACTTAGGGGGTCAAGTGACACAGTCAGCTGACTCGGGTAGGGAAGGCCTCAGCGGTAGCCTTTCCAGAGTCTCTACTGCTTGGGGGAACTGAGCCCCGCAGTCCTCATCAGAATGTTGGGCAAAGACCGGATCGAAATCTTCCCCTCCTGAATGGTGCAGACCATCATGAAGGCCCAATTAAAAGGAGCCCAGCCCGGCATGGTGGCGCACACCTGTAGTCCCAGCACTCGGGAGGCAGAGGCAGGAGGATCTCTGTGAGTTCAAGGCCAGCCTGATCTACATAGTGAGTTCCAGGACAGCTGGGGCTACAGGGAGACCGTCTCAAAAAGACCCCCCCCAAAAAAAAACAAAAAAAACAACAACAACAACAAAACCCAAAGGGTTCTCTTGCCATTTCCTCTGGGTTTTGAGCATGAAGGGGACAAGAGCAGCACCCTCTTGGGACTCCAACTGTGGGCCATGGTCCCCAGATGCTCAACTGGAGAAAGAAAGGAACCTCAGTAAAGGCAGATGAAGGTGAGCTCAGGACGGAAACTACAATGTTCTGGGAACTACATGAAGGAGGCACTAACACTGTTAGGCTTTAAGGCTCAGGCACAAAGTGAGTATAGTGAACAGCAACGTATACCCAACTTGGTCATGTTTATTCACAGCTACAGGAATCTATTCTGACTGCCCAGAGCAGATGTTCAAACTATTTAAAATTTAAAAGCATCTTATATACAAGATTATTATATACAATAATACAGAAACGTTTCTGAAGCAACAGTTAACAATGGAGTATAAAGTCTCATAAAGACACAGCAAACACAGCTAAGAGTTTTGACTCCTGTATCTTATGTATTAAATGTGTCCTATGGCAGCGGGGCTGAGTGAGGACACAGCACTTGGGAGGGTACACTGGGCATAGGCCTCACAGAGGTTCCCCAAGCCAGAGACAGCAATTCTGTCAAGTTAATAACTGGTGCACTGCCCCAGTTAGGACCCCAGCCTGTCTGCTCAGAGGCTTGAACAAGTCTGCCCATACCTGTTCCCATCAGACAGCCTGTTACCTTGACCATAATAAAGCGCCCTGGCCCTTTGACCCCCACTGCCCTAAGTTTCAGGAGTCATCACACGTAACCTTTAGCACACTCTGCCCCAAATGGCCAGGGAACAGCCCACCTACCTTCAAACTGCACCACAGAGCAATTCAATGCTCTCAGGGAACTGCAGAAAAGCAGCGCTTTGGCACCTCCTGTTATGAAACCACACAGCAAGGCTTACCAAGGACGTCGTCTCACCTTCATCTTTCTCCCTTTTGTCTTCCTCACACGGTGCTGGCGTTTCTTGGCTCTCAGACCCCCACTCTTCCTTTTCACAGATGACCTAGACCGGGTCGTCTTTCTTCCAAGCACTTTTTTCCGTCTCCCTAAAAAAGAAAAAAGAGGACACTGGATATCTGTGCTTCACTGCTTGCAGGGCCCTAGCCCAGGAAGCTGGGGAGGGGACTGGGGCACCTCAGGATTCTGTGTGCTAGCTTGAATTTTACTTTTTTAAAAAAGTATGATTCATCCCGGGTGTGGTGGCACTCGCTTTTAATCCCAGCACTTGGGAGGCAGAGGCAGGTGGATCTTTGTGAGTTTGAGGCCAATATGGTCTACATAATGAGTTCCAGGGTAGCTGGGGCTACAGGGAAACCCTGTCTCAAAAAGACCAAAAAAAAAAAAAAAAGGTATGATTCATGGGGCTTGAGAGATGGCTCAGTGGTTAAGAGCACTGGCTGCTCTTGCAGAGGACCTGGGTTCTATTTCCAGCACCTACATGGCAGCTAACAACTATCTGTAACTCCAGCTGCAGGGGAATCCAACATCCTCTTCTGATCTCTGTGGGACTGCAAGACACTGGTACACTTACATGCATGCAGGCAACACACTCATACACATAAAACAAAAACTTTGCGGGGCGTGGTGGCGCACACCTGTAGTCCCAGCACTCAGGAGGCAGAGGCAGGCGGATCTCTGTGAGTTCAAGGCCAGCCTGGTCTACATAGTGACTTCCAGGACAGCTGGGGCTTACAGGGAGACCCTGCTTCAAAAAAGACCAAAAAAAAAAAAAAAAAATTAAGTATGATTCATTTTCATTTATGTGTGTGTATCTACATGTGTGTATGCCCACATTAGTGCAGATGCCCATGGAGGCCAGAAGATGACATTGGATTCCCTGGAGCTGAAGTTATAGAGTGTTGTAGGTACTAGGAACTGAACTTGGGTCCTCTACAAGAGCAGCAACACTTTTTGGTCTTTTTGAGACAGGGTCTCCCTGTAGCCCAGCTGATCTGGAACTCACTGTGTAGACCAAGCTGGCCTTGAACTCACAGAGATCCACCTGCCTCTGCCTCAACTGGGACCAAAGGCATGCATCACCACACCCAGCTGAGGCATCTATCTAGCACCTGACTTTATTTTTTTAAGCTTTATTAGAAAATCTGAAAGTTTATTACAAAGTAAAAAGTAGTTCTCAAGAACAATATTATCTCATCCAACATATCCAACCAATCAGTATCTAGTCGTGTCCAATGCCCACTGCACTAGTCTATGGAATCAGAAGAGAACCCAGTCCTCACAGATGCCAAGTACAAAAGCACATATGCTTTGGTCTAACCCTGAAGGTGCTGTTGTGGGTCTTCATCCTAGGAGACCTGACAGCCAGGACTGCATGGTGGGGCATGGGAGGACACCAGCTGCTTCACATGAGAGCTGGGAGATAAAGGCAGGCTGCTTGTTCCTGCTGCTCCTCACACTGCAGTGCTGAGGTGAACACAGAACCAGCGCAAGTCTCTTCTGCAGAAACAGCTACCTTTTACCCTTTGATTAAAAAAAATTTTTAACTAAATTTCTATTTTATAGGTTTTTTTTTTGGTTGCACGTATGTAACTGCGCATGTACATAAAATGCCCACATAGGTCAGATGAGGGCATTAGATCACCTGGAACTGGAGTTATGGACAGTTGTTAGCTACCATGTGGGTGTTAGAAACCAAATCTGGCTCCTCTGCAAGAGCAGACAGTGCCCTTAACTGCTGAGCATCTCTCCAGGCCCCACCTTTCATTTTTGTTTCCTTTGTTTTATAGATAGGGTCTCACAGAGACCCATCCGCCTGTTAGGATTAAAGGCATGCACCACCGAACTTGGCAACCCTTCACCCTGTCTGTGGCTCCCATCACTCATGGTCAACTACAGTTGAAAATATTAAAAGAAAAATATCCAGGGAAAAAAAATCCATGACTTGTAAACTACATTGTTTGGAGTAACCTGGTCAAATCTCAAGCTGTCCCAACCCACCCTATCCAGAGCAGGAACCAACCTTTTCCTGGCATGTCCGTGTGGCACAGGTCACCCTGCTATAGCTCACGTTGCAGCTGTTTGGTTATGAGACCACAGTGCTTATATTCACATGACCCTTGTGAACAGCCCAGGCACGTGGGGCATTCACTGTCTCTCCTCTCATAGGCACTGCACCACTTCACAGCATCACTGTGAGGGCACAGCACAGCAAGACACAAAGAACTTGCTTACGAGCTTTGATTACAGGACAGTGCTACAACTAATTTGTCAGCTAGGCCCACCTCTCACTGGCCTAGCTCATAAACTGCACTTCTTGCAGGTACAGGAGAAAACATAGTATATGTAGCGTATGGTGTAAAGTACCATACTGAGGACAGAATGGCATCCCTTTAGGTCACTGAGTAGTTGTATCTGAGCCCTGAGTACCAGTGACTGATGTTTATCACAGCAGATCTCTGAGTATACCCCACCTCAGGGCACTCACTGCGTAGCCCTGACTGACTGACCTGGTTATGTAGAAGAGACTGGCCTCTAACTCGACAAAGATCAGCCTGCCCTCTGTCTCCCAAGTGCTAGGACTAAGAGCAGGCACTCAGGGCACTCATCACACCTAAGCCCACAGGTCTCTTAGACTCAAGCTGATAGTCTGCATACAGGAACAAAGGGCAGGAAGCTACAGAAATTCCAAGTTGCAACTCTAAGGAGCCAAAGCCCCAGTCCTCACAGGTAAAGAGAGAAGGAGGGGCTAACAACTGTCAGCCCAGCATGAATCTGGCTTGGCTCTTGATTCAAATAAACATTTCATTTTATTTTGTTTTGAGTTTGAGGCTAGGCTGGCTTCAAATTCACTATACAGCCGAGGGTGTCCTTGAACTCCCAATCCTTCTGCCTCACCTATCAAATATATATTTATATATATACAATGTATATATGTGTGTTACATATAAGCATATTTTGTGTGTGTG